TTAAGAAATCATTTTCCAGGACCTCTCCAGGACGTTTTCCAGGAGTTTTCTCAACAATACAGGACAACACTTGCTGACAAATGGTCCTATAATGTACAGATAGGCCTAGTTGACACATTTTCCCCTGTTTTATTCCTCTTTTTTAAATGATGTGGGGCTCATGATGAAGTGACGCAGGTTCATTACAGGTATGTGGTCAGAGTTTACGGGACAGTTCAAATCTTCCAGGACAACATCGATTATTTCCCAAAACAATATGACTGTGATGGATATTTGAGAGCTCAGACACCTTAACAACATCTCAAACTTTAACTCAACAAGTCTAATCTTACAGACACAAAAGCTGACTCAGCTGTTTGAATTGAGCACACACACACACACACACACACACACACACACACACACACACAGGGAGGAAACCATAATATGTCTGGGGCCAAGGAAAACAGACTGCTGTTGGATTGTGGGAAAAACTGCTTGGTGACCAAACACAGTGTCACACAGGTGGTGTCATCTTATTGGTTCGACAGTACAGCACTTGCTCACAGTGGTGGTCAGTGTTTCTGGGACATTCAGGGTTAGCTCGCTCTAATGACGCACTTGGCTGTTTTTTATTTATTTTATTTATTTTATTTGGCAGAAAATTCATCTTCTCTCCTATTAGTTCATTATAAGGTAGAAAGTACAAGTGTGTTATCAACAATTACCAACCACAACAACAAATGTAAACTTGACCATTATTAATATGCATGTAGATCTGTATTCTGTGTGAGGGGCTGAAATACAATTCAAATGTTACAGAACAACATAGTTAATTTCCAGGATTTTTGGTTATTTTAATCCATTTCCAGGTGTTTCCATGACTGGAAAACTAGTCTCTAAATTTCCAGGACGCATGGGAACCCTGAATATCTGATGTTGTGAACACATCATTGTTTCAAACATACATAATACCTAAACACACACACACACACACACACACACCCCTGTAGGCCCACTCTACCTGTTTGTACGCCGGTTTGACTCCAGGCATGAGCACCCGGTAGCGGTCGACAAACTCCACGAAGGTGTAGCGGATTGGATATCCAGCGCGGCGAATACGAATGGTCTCCATCATACCGGAATACCTCAGCTGACGCACACACAGCTCCCGGTCAAACAGCTGCAGACACAAACACAACAGCAGTGACTGAGTGTGACGCTAAAGCGCTGAAGGTTGTTGTTGCTTCTCATTACATCGTCCAAAATCAGCTGATACCTCAACACAACTTCCTTTAGAACAATTTCTCCAATAGGGGATTAATAAAGTATATATCTTCTTCTTCTTCTTCTTCTTCTTTTTCTTCTTCTTCTTAGTTTTCATTTTTAGTATGTTTTATTTTTTATGCATCTCAGCACCGGTTGGCCCTCCAACTTCAACAAGTTAAAAAACACAGTCAACAGAGTCTGACTGGTGTTTTAATCCCTGTTCATACTGAATTTGTAGTTTGTATTATTAGTACGGTAAGTTATTGGTGGAAAAACCCCAGTTTGTGGTACATTTGTCTTTGGTTAACATTTTCTGATTAATCAAAGAGAAAAGTCTTTAAAATGTATTGAACCCGGACAGTAGTTATTGCAATGCTGCTTTTATTTTACATAGAGGAAGAGATTAATGTCAGAATAAAAAGCACCTTAAGCAGCTTATTACAGGCTTCCCACTCTTCTTAAGAAATCATTTTCCAGGAGTTTTTCTTGATCATACAGGACAGTCAGCTGTTCTCACCACAGCCAATTTTTCTGTTGCGCTTTAAATAAAGTAGAATTTATTTATTTACAGAAAATCAATCTTCTCAGTCTCATTATCAACCACAACAACGTGTGTAAATGTGATCATAATAACAGGCTGTATGCAGGTAGATGTGTATGCAGCATTTCCAAAATAGGTCAATTGTTAATTTCCAGGTTTTCCAGATATTCCAGGATGCGTGGGGAACCCTGATATTAGTGATGTGACAAAATTATCATTACTGATTACCTCCTTAGTTACAAGTTACTTCAAAATAAAATATTTGACTCAGAAAGACATGTAAAGGAAATTATTTTAACACATAATGAAATACATAAACGTGGGTCAGATGTTTGACACTGTTGTTTCCACTGTTTGCTTTGACATATGAATTGTTGATAACTGACATATCTGACAGGTTGTTACTGTGTCTTCCTTTAGTATTAGACTTCAACCCACATAACTCATAATGCATTTTAAACACAATCATTGACTGAACTTGCTGAGAAATGCTTTGTTTTCCAGCAGCTGCAGAGTCAGCCTACCACCTACTGCACCGCTCGCCAACTAAATCCCTAAAAACATATTCTAATAATTAAGTGATTGATATTATTTGCAGACACTCACCATGGGTTTCTTGTATTCGTTGGGTTTGATGCAGCGAACGAAGAACGGCTGACAGACGCTCAGAGTTCTCATCAGCAGCTCCAGAGATCTCTTAAACTGACTGCTGAGAGTGGGAGAACGCTTCCTGGTCTCTGCCCCCTACACACACACACAGACACACACACACACACACACACAACACAAACACACAGTGAGACAGGGGTGAAAGTGTCAGGGTCAGAAACAATAGAACTCCTTTCTCTCTTCCTGACACAGACCTTCTTTCCTCTCTCTGTCTCTCTAAATATAAAAGTCTTTGTCTGGCTGACGCTGCAGATTCAGAGGTCAACAGTGAAGCCAGAGCAGAAACTCTATCAGCTGCAATTATTAGTCGACTAATTTAATTGATTATTAGTCTATGGATAGAGGATTCACCAGCAACTATTTCTAAAGCCAAAATGACCAACTTCTCAAATATGAAGATTTGATGCTTTTCTTATCATAAGTGATAATAAACTGAATATTTTTGGGAGTGTTGTCAATGAACAAGCAATTTAAATACATCTGTAGGGCTGAGGGGAATTATTGAGGGCATTTGTTCAATTTTTACATTTTAAACACAAAACAGTTGTTTCAAATAATGCCAGATTAATCTGTAATGAAATCATTTTTAGAGCGAGCCTATCTTAAACAATGCTAATTTAAATTAATTAAATTTAAATGTAAATAATAATTAAATAAAATGCCATCCACAGCACTGCCAAGAAAAGATGTGAATATTCATATCACTTATAAAGTTCAATGTTTTTTTAAAAGCCCATTAAATTTAAGGGGAATTAGCTCATCTTACCTTAATGAGAAGATCACACCTGTTGTTGCAGCTCAGAGAGCAAAACACTGGAAACAACTAGCCTTACCCCATCAAAGCGCCTTATTTAAGCTACATATGTTCGAATTTAACACATAAAGACACATACAGTAAGACATTTGTTTACGCGTAGTTAACCTGTGCACTGAAGTTATTTATTGACCCACAACAGCTGTGCCAGAAGACAACTAGCTCAGAAATCCGCTCCTCAAAGTTCAAGGCTGGGTTACACCGTATTCGGTACTGGTCTGATTGGTGTAGTGTCCGCAAACACGACTGTATTTAGAAACATGTGTTTGCTGCCCTCCAAGTGGTCATAATGAGGATGGAAAGTTATTTTTTATTGTCATTTACAAACGCAAAGGCTGACAATTGCAGATAACGTTCCCCTTTATGCACAGCTTAAAAAGTTTTTTTTTTACAATCCTTCATACAAAAAAAATTAATTTGTGCACTGAATTGCGCTTGAGCAATGAGGAAATAAGGCTGTAAAATGTAGCAAGGTACAATATTAGTGTACATTTATTACCAAATGGCAACTGTCAACCATAGTGATCGCTAAAATATTCATTAATAATAATTACCGTTTTAATTAAAGTTCTGTGGAGATTTTTGCTGACATTCTAAACTGGTGGACTAACCTGTTAACGAATCCTTGTAGACAGAACCAAGAGTATTTACTGCCCCCTGTGGCCGAGTGAGGAACTACATCAAGGGATACCGTCAAGTTAACATGATAACGTGACAACAATGCCTCCACTTCCCGCGCCTGTGTTTTTCAAAATCAAATCACTGACAAAACAACAGAAAATGACAAATGATTAATGTCATTTTAATTGTACATTGATGAGTCCTTAAGCTGTAACAAGTTAATTTAACCCACTTTCCAAATTACGTTTCTCATTAGTGGCGTATTGCAGACTCTCTGTCAGCTGGTTGAGCTACGTTAGCTCAGACCAACAGAACCGCCTTTACTGCTGTGACGTTGGTTTCAATTTGAGTTTCTTAAGGTTAGAGGTTTCAAATGTGATATGATGAAGTTTAAGAACTAAAACTGTTAACCAACTGTTTTGTCCCCAGAAAACTTTCCCAGCTAGCACGTGTCGTTCCTGCTCGGCTAACCGGTTAAGCTAAACCCGTTGTGAGGCGTCACGAGATTGTTATAGAGGACAGATGTTCACTAATTGTCTTTTTATCAGCGGTTAAAAAAAAACAAAAAAACAGCTCATACTCATCATTTCCAAACATTAACAGTGATAATAGAGTAGGCGTAATCTTCCATTAAAAAGCCATATTTTGCACAATATTTGTGTAGGAGATCAAATAAAACAGACTACATTAGGATTATTAACCATGATTAATTGAAAGAAGAAGTGTCTATATAGATATGTTATCAAATAAAATCTAACTGAAAAACATACTTGGTGTAGTTCCTCGGTGTGACCACATGGCAGGAAGCAAAACAACTCCAAAGCATAAAAGACAACAGGATTGCAGAACTGATATTATTCTCATACCGGGTTTATCATATAAAAGCTAGAGTTTTGTAAAATAAAATAAAAATAAAAACAATAAAAAATTATAATACACTTTATGAATGCAAAGCACAAACAAGTTAACTGCTATCAAGGATTAAAAACATTTCAGGTGGTGTGTGTGTGGGTGGTGTGTGTGTGTGTGTGTGTGTGTATGTACCATAGCGGACATCAGCCTGGAAAATCTGTCTTGATGATTGTTTTTAGAAGGAGTGAACCAGCTGAATGATGCCCCGTAAAAGTGTGCTCTGTTCTTCTCCCCAGGAAGCCTGCAGACACCACACCACACACCACGCGATACACACATGAAGAATGTGCATTTTTGCGCACGTGAGTGTGTGATGTGTCTTGTGGTGTGTGTGTGTGTTTGTGTGTCTGGGTGTCTGTGTTGTCGTGTATGTGTTCCTATGAAGCAGATGACG